CTGTATGGCAGCCTTGCCTAGTAAACTCCTTCCCTTTCTGGGAATTTCTCCTCTGTGTTAGAGGCACCAAAATAACCCAGTTGACATAAGGTTTCCTGCTGGAGCAGGGGGTTGGATTACATAACCTCCGATGTCCCTTCTAGCCCCAGATTGCTGTGCTGTTTCAAAGTATGAAGCTGCCAGGTGTTTGTGGTCCTTCCTTCTTCTTTTTCCCTCCCTCCTGCCCACCATCCATATCTCGTGCACTTTCCCTTCCCTTCCCTCCCTCCCTCCCTTTTCTTCTTTTCTTTCTTTCCCCCTTAGATGAAGCTGGCATACTTAGCCACCCCTGCTCTTTCCTTCTCTTACTTACCCTCTCCCCTTCCTTCTCCTAAAAAGCGTTCGGCTTTCCTAAAGCCATTTACCAACCCCTCCCCCCACCAAGATCACACTGTGGCTTATGGCTGTTGGCACTGGCAGCTAGCCAATTGGTTGGCGGCTAACTCCTCGGTAGCAAATAACCCACATGAACCATGCTTCGGTGAATTGGCAGTGTTGAAGCGCATGGGACAGAGGGGCCGTGGCCCATTGCCCAGGGCTAATGGGCAGCAGAAAAGTCAGAGGAGAATCGCCCAAAGAGGAACGCTGGTGGAGGAGGACGTGTGGCTAAAGGGAGACGAAAAGTTCCATTCCTTTGTGTCCCCTTGTCATCAGCATACCTGATATGTGTAAGTTGAATAGTGTAGGTGCCATTACAGAGCATTGTGAGAGACCGTTGTTTTATGTTATGTTGTCCTCCATTATTATTTGAAAGGGCCTATCACTTAGCATGTTTGTGATGACCCTGAGCGTAACACAAACGTAACAAAATCCAAAACATAAATAAATGTCCTTTAATGCCTCCATCTTGGCCCCATTGTTCAATAATTCTCAGTTGGAGATAAAACTTATTCAAAAATAGTCTTCAAAAGGAAGCAATACAGTCCGAACTTAATGAGCAGATAGAGGTGAAATAAAAAACCAAAACAAACTACAATGAAATAAATTCCACAACGGACCAGGATAAGTAATTACCAACATCAAAGAGATAACAAGGCACAGTCTGTTGGAAGGACGCCAACCAAGATAACTTCAGCCCAAAATAAAACATGCTTTGCTTCTGGCAACGCCGTGTTTTAATCATCTCTCTTATATACTATTCTCCCCAGCTGCAACCAATGAGGGGGATCATGGCCGCTCCCTCTCTTGTAAGCCAAGTTGTTTCCTTCTCCGTTCCTCCCTACGTGTCCTAGGATGAAGAAGGGATGGGACTGGTTATTCCTCTGACTGCCCAGCCAACCTCTGCCCTTCCCCAGCCTCTTTCACAACCTCTGGAGCCACACCTCCACTCCCTGTCAGCTGTTCCTCCTCTCCCTCAGAGGGCATGACAATGTTATTAATTAGTTGATAATTTTTTACAGGAGATAATATGGCACAGTTTGTATAACAACCCATTCCTCCAAACTATATCATATGACATAGTTATATGGACAAACATGGCTGTGGTTTTCAGGCCACATCGGATTCCTACTTCAATATAGCCTGTTAGTTTAGCACTTGATTTTGTTGGAAGCTGGCTTGTTCCATGGGCCGATATAATTAATCTTTCTAGGACAGTGGTGGCTAACCTTTTGGGCTCCTTGGCCAAAAATTGCGCACACGCGTGCATGCCAGCACCCAGAGAGCAATGCGTGTGGGCTCCCCCCATGCTCCCTGCGCATGTGCGCATAACCCCCCGCACGTGCCATGTGTCTCTGTGCATGAGCACCTGATCCCCTGTGCACCATGCATCTCTGGATATGTGCATGATCCCCTTGTGCACCCCGTGCATCTCTGTGCATGCATGCACATCTTCCACATCCCTGTACCCCCTGCACATGCATGCCAGATACCCAACAATCAGCTGTCAGGCAGGCGGTGTGCATGCATGCACAGTGGTGCTCTTCCAGGTGATATCTCGTGTACTGGCAGAAGTGGCTCTGCGTGCCACTTCCGGCACACATGCTACAGGTTTGCCATCATGGCTTTATGTGAACAAAAGCTGGTGTATCAATACAAAGACTGTAGGCAGCCACTGCTACATGGATCTGGAGTATATGACTCTTAAATGTAGACCCATATATCTTCCATGGGAATTCAGCATGGTTTTGATTACTGCAGTCTATATCCCACCTGATGCCAATACTACCATAGCTTTGGGATTCTTGTATAATGTTAGAAATCAGCAGAATAAGTATCCTGATGCTGCACATATCATAGTGGGGGACTGTAATCAAGCTGATTTAAAAGCAGTGCTCCCTAAATTCTATCAGCATGTTAAGTGTGCTATTAGAGGAGCAAACATATTGGACAAAGTATATATTAACATCAAACATGGCTATAAGGTTACACCATTACCACATTTGGGACAATCAGACCATATGTCACTGCTTTTAGCATACATGCCTATAATAAAGACAGTGAAAACTTGGCCAGAAGATGCTTCCCAACAACTTCAGAATTGTTTTCAGAACACAAATTGGTACATCTTTTACCACCCTGACCTAGAGGTGCACACTGCAACTGTTCTGTGCTATATCAAACACTGCACAGATACTATCACTGTGGATAAACGTATTAGGATCTATCCCAATCAGAAACCTGGACGACCAAGAAAGTCCAGCGCCTCTTGCATGATAGGATCAAGGCCTTTAGGTCCAGTGATGGGGCAAGATACAGTGTTGCCAGAGCTAATCTGAAGAAAGGTATTCGGAAGGCCAAGACTGATTATAAGAGGAAGATTGAGGATAATTCTTAAAGCAATAACATGAGGCAGGTGTGGCGAGGGATTCAACAAATTACCAACCATCAACTGACCAATGTCATCCCTGCTGAGGGAGATGCTTCATTGGCAGAGGAACTGAATCATTTCTTTGCTCGCTTTGAAGCAGAGACATCAGAGACAGCTAAAATACAGCCAACAGCCAATTGTAGCCCCCACCTCATTGTGGAGGAACAGGAGGTGAGGAGCATTCTGAGGACTGCGGACCCTAGAAAGGCTGTCGGTCCTGACATTATCTCTGGCCGAGTACTTAAAGACTGTGCTGATCAGTTGGCTGGAGTCTTTACCAGGATTTTCAATCAGTCTTTATCCCAGTACACTATTCCATCTTGTTTGAAGACTTCCACCATTGTTCAGCTGCCAGAGAATAACCTCAACGATTACAGACCAGTGGCACTCACTCCTATCATCATGAAGTGCTTTGAGAAGTTGGTCTTCCAGCACATCATTTCTGGTCTTTCTCATACATTTGATAAACACCAGTTTGCATACAGAAGAAATACTTCTACAGAGGATGCTATAGCCATCACTCTTCACACTGCTCTGACTCATCTAGAACAGTGGGGGCGGGGGCTATGTGAGGATGCTTTTTGTAGATTTTAGTTCTGCATTTAACACAATTTTCCACATAGACCAGTGTGTAAACTTATGGATCTTGGACTTTCTTATTCAATCTGCCTTTGGATTAAGGATTTCCTGTCTGGCCGCTCAGAAGGTCAGATTAGATAATCATATCTCTTCAGCCCTTATTCTAAACGCTCAGAAGGTCAGATTAGATAATCATATCTCTTCAGCCCTTATTCTAAACACTGGTACACCACAGAGTTGCATGTTGAGTCCCTTACTCTATACTTTTTATATGCATGACTGCATTCCCATTCACACTAGTAATACTATTACTAAATTTGAAGATGATATATCAGTAGTGGGGGGGATGAGTCTGCCTACCAAGATGAGGTGGACCGGTTGCTTTTGTGGTGTAGAGACAATAATTTGGTCCTCAACACCAATAAGACCAAGGAGCTTATAGTGGACTATAGAAGGAATGGATCAGACATCCAGCCCTTGCTTTTCAATGGAGACCGAGTGGAGCAAGTGGCCAGTTTAAGTTTCTGGGTGTTACCATAAAAGAGGGCTCACATTGCAGCACTGGTCAAAAGGGCCCAGCAGAGATTATACTACCTGAGACTTCTCAGAAAACAACTGAATGAAAAACTGCTGGTGACCTTCTACTGCTGCACTATAGAGAGTATCTTAACTTACTGCACCTCTGTATGGTTTGCCAATTGCACAGTGGCAGATAGGAAAGCACTCCAGAGGGTTAATGTCATTGCCCAGAAGATCATTGGTTGCCCTCTCCCCTCTTTGGAAGAGCTTTATAGCTCCTGCTGCCTTAAGAAAGTTCAAAGATCCATCTCATCCTGGGAACCCTTTTTTTGAACTATTATCATCTGGCAGATGGTACAGAATAATAAAAACAAGGACAAATAGGCTGAAAAACAGCTTCTATCCCAGGGCAGTAGCTCTTTGGAATTTTGCTGTATAGTGCAATATTAATGCAATATCAAGGATTTTCAATTCAATGTATAGAATGTGAAGGATGTGTGTTTGTGTTTATTTTCATAGCCATAATATACACTGAAGATGGTATTTAATTTCGTTGTACGAAGTGCAATGACAATAAATTAAACTAAACTAAAACCTCAGGTGTTTTATTTGTCTGAGCCAAGCTTGTCAGCTTCAGCTCCTTACCTATTCTGTTGCTTATTTGGAGTTTCTGGCTGCTATAAATTTTGAGTCTACATTCAGAGCATTTTTCCAAATTTCGCACAGAGGAAAAAACTCGAACTACTAATCACTTTCTATTTTAGATTATCGGAAGAGTTGCGGAGCGAGTGCAAATGAAACGCTTTAGTATTATGAATGTTTCTAAAAGGAATAGGTCGGGACTGGGATAACACCATCACTTTTCTCTATAGACCGAATATAAATGATTGAAAAGATCTGTCACCTGATTGGTGGTCGCGAGGGTGCGCGATGTTGACTGTGCTCGCTAGGAGGAGGAAAAAGAGGCTTCCCGCTCTGGAGCAAGATTGGGCGGCGCGATGTGACGGTTTCTGCCACTTCCATCCGGGGCAGAGGAGGGGTGCTGTCTTTCCCCGCCTCCGCCTATGCCGGCTCCGTGAGGGTAATTCCTGGTTCCCCCCCCCCCTCTTTGAGGTGTCTGCCAGTTTGCCTGCGTGTTCGCCATTCTTTCGAAGCAACCACGGTGAAGAAGAAGAAGAAGAAGAGGCAGTTGGAAGCCGAAGCGGGCGACCACAACGGGTGAGGAAAAGAGAGGCGGAAGGAACTGTAGCTGTTTTTGCGTCGCGGTCTTGGGTGAGGCAGTCTAGAGAGGCCCGGCCGCCAGACGGCTCTCGGGGCCTTAGTTGACGGCTGCTGCCTTCAAATACTGCGGGCTTCAGAAACTCGCTCTCGCCTTCCCCATGTCTCCCATGGGATGAAGGGTGCAGGTTAAGTTCGTGTGTGTGCGAGATCTGATGGGGAATCCCGCTAGAGATACAGAGGAGGGGGCAGGACTTGAGGCCTTGGGTGGCCTTTCTCCCCCACCCCGGAGCTTGCAGTCTGATAAATTAGGCCGAAGGGAAGGAAAAGGAAAAGAAACGCCCCAGTGCTCGGTATCGCCCATAACGACGCATAGGCAGAGAAATACTCCACCGAGATAGGGGAACATTGGACAGTAATCGGCATAGCGTGTATGGATTAACGCGTGCGCCGCAGCGCTGACCTTAACTGTCATTTCCTTCCAGCTTTGACCCCACGTGCACTCCAGATTTTCGCTTGTTCAGACTGAAACAATGCACGTGGTTATGAAAGGAAAATCCATATCACAGAGTGATGCCATTCTTCCAATGGAAAGATATCACTCGATTATGCGCGCTCAGATCAATTCTGTGAAGATTTATGACTCTATTTTATTTATTTTCCTTTATTCCCGAAGATTATCACTGTCATATTCAGTACTATGAACTTTCTAATATCTAACCTAATATTTATTATTTAGGTGCCACCAAGTCCCAACAAATTATTTGAAACACGAAAAACAAGACAGTAGAAACAGAAGAAGCATAAGGAAGGATGGAGATGGCAAGATAACAAAGAGGAGGGGGAACAAAAGAAAACAACCTAGGTTAAAAGGAGACTTCAGTCATCTCACTTTAAAAGTGTTGGTGTCTTTTAGTTAAACCAAGTTGTTCAATAGAGGATTTTAGGAACAAAGGATGAGAGAATGGACATATAAAAAGCATTAAGAGATAACATTTATAGCAAATTAGTTGCTATTTGCTTTTGGTTTCCAGGTGTGATTGTTGAAGCAGTTTAGCATTGAATGGAGTAATTAGACTGCAATTGTGGGCAAAGAGAGTTAACAAAAATATGTAATGCAATTAAAGCAGGTTAATGTTAATAGATACAGAATTGTCTCTTTAAATCCATATGAATAGTATTAATTTGTGATGTTTTTAGGGATTGCTAGTAATTAAGGATATAATTTTTAGGTCCGATTGCTAGAAATCAATCAGATATAATTTGTGCACATCAGAGACTCATCAGTCTGTTGTTTGTGCCAGAGACCTTGAATCAAATGAAGTATCAGTATGTCCCTTATCAGGTTGAGGTTTGAATGGAGAAAATGAATCTCTGATGCGCTGTTGCTGGCTGCAGTCATAGTACTGTAGTAAGATACTACTCTTCCCTGATTTAGAAAGTACAAAACTGAAGTTGATGATATGGAAATTAAGGCCATATAAAACCCTAAGTAAATATATAAACATATCCACAAGGAATTGGAGATTTATGGATATAATTAATGAACTATATTTTTTCTAGGACTATTTGTTTCATTCATTGTGATGGCATCCCATTTGCTCTCAAATTTATAATCTATTTAACAAGTTTTCTCAAATCATTGCTTGTCCAGTCATCTGATTTCTGAAAGAGCGACTTAATTCATTGGATGTTTTTGGAAGGCATATTTCACGTATTGTATGCTAAGCTCCAGTTGTACTCTGTCTGAAATCAAATGAACAAAAGAAAAGGAAACTTTTACTGCTGAATAAAGTTATCTGTCAGACCTGTCCTAGCTAGGTCCTTAGGTAAGAAAGATCCTCAACTTCATTTAATTGAAGCGATGGGTTCTTTTAGTAAGGATTACTGGCTGCAGTAAAAGCAAGCTAGAACTAAAGTTCCTATGAAAAAGGTTACAAACTTTTATCCTTCATCACAGCCTCCCACCCCTGACCAGTTCATTTTCGGCCAATGGTGAGCCACATAAGTGTTTTGAGAACTGCTGGGATGTTTGGAGCAATCCACATTCTTTTCCAAGCTACATGACCTTAAAGATTGGCATATATACTTTTGCCATATATCTTTATTGCCCATTTGCTCTTTTTCCCCTTCTTTCTAACACTTGATGGCAGGCTGTAAGCTAGACGCCAAGCCGAAGATCGCAGAACTGACATACTGGTCCCCATTTCAGAGCCATTAATCCTGAAGAGGAGAGACAAGAGGGAAAGAGGAGAAACAAATACGAATGCATAGTTAGTTAATGTTCAATAAGGTTTGTCCGAGTATTGTTAATGGAACCTCTTAAGTAATCTAGAACACTTGATCTGTTTTGAATCCACCCATTCAATTTTGGAAGGTGGGAAGTCCTGTGCCACTAGGTATTGTGTTTTCCCTCAGTATGTGCATGAATCCAAAATGTCTTTGACGTCAAAACTCTGCTGCCCTTCAATCATTATAGGATAGGAGGTGGGCATAGAGTAGAAGTGCTGGTTTTAGGAGGCTGCAGTGAAACACCAGGTGAACAAGTCTGAGGGTTTTTGGGAGTTTGAGTTCAACAGTTTCCAGAGTAATAACTCTTTTTATTGGGAAAGAGCCAACATATTTTGTACCCAGTTTTCCAAGGGTTGTCTAGATTGCAGATATCTTTCTCCAATTTTAAAGTTTTTGGGTTTGGAGCATTTCTTATCAGCCTGTTTTTATATGATTTCTTTGCCTCCTCCAAACTACAGGCCAGGTGTTTTGTAGTTGTGAATTCACTCTTTTAAGGATGCAATTTGAGAGGTAGCCTGGGATTACTCAGGAATAGATACAAAGTCCTGCCCAGTGGCTACTTTGAAAGGAGTGAATCCACTGCTACTACGTATAAGTTATTGTAAACCACTTCAGTAAAAAGGTCATCCTGCTGGTAGTTAATGTAGCATCTGGGGTATTGTTCTACAACCTCATTCATATGTTTACAGGTCCTATCTGTTTCAGAATGATGGGAGGAGCTAAGTGCCTGGGGGTCCCTAAAAGTTTTAGGTATTACAAAGTGAATTGGAGTCTGCGATACGATGTAATTTTCTCTGGGGTTCCATACAGTCTATATAAATACTACATGTACAATTTAGCTAAGGTGTGAGTGGAGAAGATTTTTTGGTATGGTGCAAAATGCACCTGTTTAGAGAATAAACCAGATATCACCCAGATTACGGTATTTCCCTTTTTGGGAAGTCAACTTTACCCTGGGTTCTCTCCAATGCTCCCCCCCCCCAATCCTCGACCCTCTCCTGGTTGCCCTTGTGAGCAACATCATGTGCACGGTCCCCATGGTAGACCTGTGTCTCCAGGTTGACCACTAGTGCAATTCTAGTGTCAGCCAGATCTCCAGCATGCATTTTGCAGCTTGCTTGCCCATGGCTGCCATAGTAATGGGGAGAGAGGAATTGGCATTTGGGAAGGAGAAATGAGCTGGTGTGAAGTGTTCCTGTGAGAATTGGAAGGGAGGTTTGCTACCCATCAATGGAGTGTTTAGAATTTTCCAAGGCTGACAGTCCTGGGCCTCTGAAGGCATCCAGCATCTGCTGAAGAGGTTTCCAATAACATCATATTGGACATTGATTTATCCTTATGGGCTGGGACCTGTGGGGAGGGCTTTGGAGATGACTTTCAATGTGTCACCTTTGTGCAGATTTTATTCAGAACTTGCCTTGCCTACATTGCCCACAGAGGGTGATGCCAGCTGCAGCCACTAGCAGCTGCGCACTTGCAGCTGAGGCTGGGGGAACTACCTCCTGAAGGAGACGGACTGTTCAAGTGCTGCCATTGGGGTGGAAATTTGGGGGGTGGGGGGAGATGGATCCCAAGTCATTGGGATTCTTCCTAACTCAAGTCTGAAATTATATGCAGGGGAAAGGGGTGAATTGGGATTGGAAACTGCCAAAGTGAGATGTGTCACAATGGTCCTTGAAGGAGCCACAGCAGAATGGATGGTTTCACTTCACAACAATAAGGCCCCCCAACTAAGAAACTATGACCAGTTTATGGTAATACTCTGCCGGTGGTTTTAGGACCCTCTGGCAGAGCGTAAGCCAGAACCCAGATGAAAACCATTACCCAAGGGAGGTGATCAGTTGCAGAGCACACCCAGGAATTCCATGAGCTGGCCTGTAAGCTGGCCACGTGGCCTGAGGAGATCTTGGTTGAATGCATCAAAGATGGGCTAAACAATGAAGTCTACCACAGCTGCATCTTGCCTCCCCCCTGAGATCTTCAGTACTGGTACGTACTGGTTAATGTACGTACAGCTTCTATCCCAGGGCAGTAAATCTTTTGAATTCTGCTGTATAGTTCAGTGTTGGTGTGGTGTCGGGGGTTTCTGGTTCAATGTGTGAAGGGTGAAGGATGTGTGATTTCATGGTCATGGTCATGATATGCACTGAAGATGGTGGAAATAGACTTGGCCAGGGAATGGCCCGGAGCTGGTCACAGCTAGAGCAAGTCCTCATCTCCTGCTCACAAAGAACCTCTAAGAGTGGCCAAGGGAGGCCCAACACCCAAGCAGCGATCCACAGCATGCTTCAAGTGTGGAAAAGAAGGGCATTGAGCAGCTGATTGCCGCTCCATCAAACCTGGCCCCAAGTATGCAACCGCAGGGGGTAGGAAAGTTGCAAAGGGATCACAGAGGCTCCATGAAACAGCCTTGAAAGGGTTGAAGGTCATCAAGTTTGCCTCTCCTTTCCAGGAATAGAATAGAATAGAAGAATAGAATAGAATAGAATAGAATAGAATAGAATAGAATAGAATAG